TCCCCTTCCCCTTCCCTTTTTCTGCTTCTTCTTTTTCTGCTTCTTCTTCTCCTGCTTCTTCAGTTGTAATATCATTATCATTGTAATGTTAGGACCCAGTTGAGGATATTGGTGCAATAGAACAATGGTTCAGGAACTTTTTGTATCACTCCAGGTGGAGCAGGCTGAAGCTATCCTCATCAAAATCCGAGAAGCCATCAAAGGAGGAAAGTCGGAGATTGTCGTCCTTGAGTTGATCAAAGAGTTCTACTCCACGCTGCCTCACAAGCAAGAATCGTCCAACATAACAAAGGACCAGAGAGCCCGATGGCTTGTCAGGAAACAGGATATGTGTCAGGTAAAGTTTTAACTGGTAATTAGATATCTATCAGTTTCATTGACAGTGTGACCTCCTAGTGATCACTTGTAATGGTGGGCGCTGTTTGTAGATTCTTTACTTTTTTTTTCTTTCTTTCATACTGTTGTTTCTGTCTGTCTTACTGCTTCCTTGTACAAGATAACCATTATTTTGTTTATTGTTGTTTGTTTTTTTTAGCTTGTATTTTGCAGAAATTTATTTTGTGCTTCTAACCTGGGTTAGGGGTGCAGTTGTAAGGCTCTTTGTGCTGCATGTGGAAGACACGAGATCGATTCCCTTGTGGAGAAGTTATTTTATTGATTTTATTGCGTAACTACTCTGCTAAACTGGCGTCTGTGGTGTAGCAGTAAGGCACTTTGCTATCACACTCAGGAGACCCGAATTCGATTCTCGAGTGGGGAGAAAAGAGAAACTTTTCGTAGAGTATTTTGGTCTGTCTGCTAGATGTTGTATCCCTCTCAGACCGGGTTGGCCTTGTCAGGTAGGCAGGGTTGGAGGCCCACCTTCTTGAATAATCTAAATCATGTCAGTGGGGGTTTAATACTCCTACAATTACAAATAACAGTTCTGTCTGCCAGGATGTTGAAGCCCGCTCAGCCGGGGTTGGCCTTTGCTGGCAGCACCTGGCTTCCTAAGTTATAGAAACTGTGTCAATGGGTGTGTAAAACGTGAACCAATATTACAATGACAATCTCTTGTGCTTCTGAACTTATCTAGTGTTGTTTTAGTAAGAGTTTTACAGCACTTGCAACACAATAAGGTCATGTAAATGCCGAAGATGACAGGTTTAGAGGTGTTACAAGAGAGTAATAAACACCAAAAAAAATGAGGAGAGATAAGGAGGATCGATATTTGATTGGAAAGAAGGAGCAGTGGAGAGGGAAAATATTTCATCTGATAGAAGACAAAGATATTACAGACGGTTTCAAACCTTTGATTTAATCTTAGGCACTTAACATTTGACATCCTCAATATATCTAGTATAGCATTTTTGCCAAAATTCGAGCTTGTGGATTATGCGGTTATAGCTGGTTTGTTATTCCAATATCAGATTATTCCTGGGAAATGTTGATGTAAATTGTATAAAACATGATAAGAATGAGTCGCGGTTAAAGCCCTGTTTATAGCAGCACAACTGTGCACGTGACTGATTCTTTCAAAGTTGAATTTTCTGATTTTGTTGACAGTGCTGATACCCTGGGCACATCTCCCTTCCTATATTTATGACAGTAATGTCAAACTTTCTCAATGAAAACAAATTCTTCTTTCAGTGTATATAACTGTTCAAAACAAACGTTGTAAAAAAAGGGCAAATAATGCTGAGTGACCATAGCCACCCCCGACATCGGAACTTCAATTATCGGCCTTCAGTAAGAGATATGTTTCCAAAAAAGGAAGAACAGACAGATACAGAAATTCATTCGTACCAAATGCAGTGAGGTTACTGAACACACAGTGCTACAAATGAAACAGAGAGAGAGAGAGAGAGAGAGAGAG